AAAAATTTTTTTTTTTTTTAATTATTATTATTATTATTATTATTATTTTAATACGATTACGTAATTATTTAATTAATATACAAAATAATAATAATAATAATAATAAGAAAATTTGTTTTAATTACGGTCAGTTAAACACAAAAAAAGAAAAAAAAAATTTTTACTTACCTTAAATTTTTTTTGTTCCAGTTTTTCTTCTCTCCTGGAGAACTTAATGCTTTCCCCCTCTTCATTTTTTTTTAAACCTGTAACACTTCGATTATTATTATTATTATTGTACAAATACACATGCAAAAAAAAAGAAAAAGAAAAATGGGGCGGAAACATTTAAGGACCCCTCAAACAAAAAAAAAAAAATGAAAATCATCAAGCAATTTAAAATATATTTTATCCGTTTCCGTTTCCGCTTTTTTTAAATTTATTTAACTTTCAACAACAACGAAAAAAAAGTTTTTATCTATAGATTATGTATCGTCAAACTTTTTTTTTTCTCCTTAAAACCTGAAATTTTTTTTTTTTGTAGAGGAGAGAGAAAAAAAAAAATAAATAAAAGTATAAAATAGTTTAAATTCGTCGATAAATTAACCGTAAAACTTTTATTTTGTTTCGTTTTTTCTCTCTCTCTCCACCCTCTCTCCCCTTGCGTCTCACTACAAAAAAAAAAAATTTTTTTAAATGTCGTTTTAGGGGTTATAAATCAGGGTTGCCATCAAGGACAGGAAAAAAAAAGAAAAAAAAAATTATTTACGTGGGAGTTCCGAATCACGTTAAAAACAAAAAAAAAAACGTTTGAAAACGTTTCCTTTCCTCTTTTCTTACCTTATCAATTAATTTTAAAATGTTTTTTTATCGTATCACCCCCTACCTCCCCCCAAAAAAAAACAGAAAGCATAAGGAAAAAAAAACAAAACAAAAACGAATAAATACAAAACAAAAAACAAATAACAATTTAAATTACCTTTAAATTCATTACGTCATTACGTCACGAATCCATTCAAGTAAAATTCAAAATGGTGATGAATAATTTTGAAAAACGCGGGAAATTTAAAAAATAAAATAAACACACAAAAATTGTTTTTTTTTTAACAATAAAACGACGGTGGTGAGAAATTAATTTACCGTGGATTAATTTTTATTTCCGTTTTGATTATGTTTTTTTAACCGCCGCGCTTTTCTTTACCCCCCCCCCCCCATCCCCCAGAAAAATATTTAAATTATAATTTAATTTGACCGCAGAAATTTATTAATTTCGTCGCCCTCATAATAATAATAATACTTTTTATTTAAAAAAAAAAAAATATTTTTAACGAAGGTTTTTCGTTCGTTTGTTTGTTTGTCTGTTTGTTATTTTAAAAATCAAAATCGGCGCTAATGTCTTCTGCTAGTTTTGTAACAAAAAAAAAAAAATGAAAAGAACAAAAGAAAGAAATAATAAAATAAAAAAAAATTTCGACAGAATTAAACGAATTTTCCACTTTTTCCATTATTCTGTTGTTGTTGTTGTTTTTTTTTTGTTCGTTTGTTCGTTCGTTCTCTCATTCATTCATTCATTCATTCATTCATTCATTTATTTATTTATTTAATTTAATTCTTTTGTTATTTTATTTTTTCTTTTAATGTTTTTTCTTTCGTTTTGTAAAAAAAACAAAAATTTTTTTTTTTTTTATTTGTGTTAGAACAACATTAATAAAATGAAATAAAATAAAAAAAAAAAAAAAATTTCGGTCGTAAAAACAAAACGAAGAAAACAAACAAACGAAAAAACAAACGAACAAACGATTTTTTACGTATACACGCTTATAATAATAATAATATTACACGCAAACATAAAAAAAATAAAAATTTCTTTTTTTTTTTGGAAGAAAATTAAATTTTTTTATTTTGGTCTCTCTTTGCCGTCGTTTTAAAATTCCCGCGTTTTTCTTTTTATCTTCTGCTTTTTTTTGTTTTGAAGCAAATCTTAACTATAGCAAAAATTTTTATTAAATAATTTCATGATAATTATTTTTTAATACTATACACCCCAAAAAAAACAAAAATCATAAAGATAAAATTTTATTTTATTTTATTTTGTTATTCAAGTGTTACCAACCTTTAAAAAAAAATTTGCATGAGATTTTTTCGCGTCACGATAAAACATAAAAGAAAAAAAAAAATTTATTGTTTTTATTTTTTGACATCCATTAAAAAAAATAAAATCGATTGAATGTAACAAAAACGAATAATTTATTATTTATTTGTAAGAATTTTTTTTTTTTTGTTTTTGTAACGTTGGCAATGTCGTAAAAAATAGTTTTTTTTTTTTTTTTTTTTAAACAATAAATATAAATTTAGATGAAAAAAAAAAAATTATATTAAATAAGCTTGGTTTAATACCCTCCCCAAAAGAAAAAAAAAAAAAAAATTTATTTATTTATTTATTTACACGTCAAACGGCACTTCCGCTATCGAATAAATCCAAATTTTCACTTGCGTTTGTTTCAAACGTGTCCAACGTACTAAATACATTTCCTATCGTCACGCCCTTTTTTTTCTTTTTTTCCGATGATGATGATGACGATGATGAAGTTTGAAAATTTGTCATTCTCGATGAATTCGATATCGAACTTCCGGTTGTAACGGTCATTCCGCTACTCGTGCCACCGGAACTTGACGATGTCGTCGACGACGTACCCGGCATGTCTAACGGAGTCCTCAATATACCCGGTTGTATAAATGATTTATCACTGTGAAATGTTTCGAAATAGGTACACGCGGCGTTCGATGATGATGACGTATCTAATTCTGGGCTCATGTGAGACAAACCGCAATCGAATCTTCTCGGCGGTGGTGGCATCCTACGATCTTCTACTTCAATAAATTGATTACCCGTTAATAATTCTCTATCGATGTGTGATGACGTTTCCGTTGTTGTCTGCTGTTGTCTAACACAATTATGACGATGAAAACGTTTAGAAGGCAGTGTGTTAACGGCGTGTTGTCTTAGTTCGGTTTTACCCAAACAACAACTCGCGCCATTTTCTTCCGTTATTGAATTTTTATAATTTAATTTTTCTTTTTTATTTATTGGTGGTGGTGCGTAAACGAAAGAAGGAGATGATGATAAAAATCTATTGTTGTGGTTGTTGCTACTGCTGCTGCTGCTGTTCATCAAAACAATCGGAACCGTTTGTCCGGCGAGAGATGAATTCTTAATAATACTATTACCATCCACCGCGAAAGTGTTTGATTCGTTTAGTAAATATGGCGGTTCGGATGATCTTAAACAGTAGGTACCTTCTTGTGCGCTTATTATGCTAGACGATACCAGTGGGGGATTCGTAAATGTTATCACGTCTTCCGGTGTCATACCTGAATTCGATGCGCATATATCAGGTGCGGGTTTTGTAAAAAGTATTGAATTTTCGATTCCTTCGATTCCTTCGTTGTCGTGTTGAGATTTACTCGTTAATATTTCCGTTTTCGAATAACATTTCGAACTTAAACCTAAAAAAAACAAAATGGCGCCATCATCGTTTTTTTTTTTTTAAATTTAATTAATTAATTTACGACAACCTTTCGACCTTTTAACTAAAAATGATGATGATGATGATGATGAAAAGGGTAAGTAAAGTAATTAAAAAAAAGAAAAAAAAAATTTTCTTTTTTATCTAGTCTCGATGTGTAATTTTTCTCATCTTTTTTTCGATGATGGAATAATATAATTAATTTATTATTATTATTATTACCTGAAGTTAGTGACCCGGAAGTGTCTGGTTCGTGTCTTTGATATTTATTTTGATGTTCCACTAAATATTCTCCAGCTAAACCATTACGTTCTTTTAGTCTTCTTTCGGCTCCAGGCACGGTGACTCTTACCTGTAATAATTTAATTATTATTATTATTATTATTATTATTTTATTATTATTATTATTATTATTATTATATTATATATTATATATTAATATATATATATTATATTATTATATATATATAAAATAATATATATATATATATAATATAATATATATAATATATATTAATATTATATATATTATATTATTATATTATTTATTAATTATTATTATTATTATTATTATTATTATTTATTTATTATTATATTATTATTATTATTTTTTCCATTTATTTATTACCCTTGTGCGTGGGGGGAGAATGCGTGTGCGGGGATGCGTGTGTGGGGGCGCAAATAATAAAAACGATCGCATTTTTAAAAATTTGAGAAAAAAAAGTTTTTTTTTAAAACGTCGAACGTTATAAATAAAATAAAATTAATTTTTTTTTATCTTAATTAAATTTTTTGTGTCGGTTGTTTGTTTGTTTGTTTGTTATATTCTTATTAATAACGTATAAATAATTATCGTCACGATTGTTACAAAAAGTAAAGAAAAAAGTCGATTTCGCGTTTTTTATTTGAAAAAATTTGTCATTTAAAAAAAAATTTTTTTTTTTTTTGACGTGACAAAAAATCTTTTTTTTTTTTTTTGACAAATGTGCGACATATTTTTTGATGTTGCGACATTACGTCAAATTTTTTTCATTTATTTAATAAACGTCAAATCCGAAAAAAAAAATATATTTGTGCGTGTGTGCGTGGGTGTGTGCAAAAGGTAAAAAAAAGGGAAATTTTTTTTTTTCCTTACCATTTCTTCGACGGTCGGAAATCTTCTTATGTAAGCGGATATGCTTAAAACGGCAGCAAGTTCCGACATGAAAAAAGCGGCACCGGCAGCAAAAAAAGACCAACCGTATTTATAATCGAATAAATTTGACGGAGATGATATTTTAGTATCGAAAGAATCGTTTATTAAATGAGATGATGATCTTCTGGGCCTTTCGAAAAAGGCATCGCTTAAAACCGATGCAAATATTAATAATCCTCCGCCTAGTGTTAAACCTGAAAATTAAAAAAACAATCAATCAATCAATCGTTGTAAATAATCCGTCGAAAAAAAAATAATAAAATTTCGGACATTCGATGAAAGGAAACTTTAATATAAAAAAAAAAATTTACGAACGAAAATCTCTTTAAATCATCAACGCCGCCAGCGCCCGCCACTGCCACGGCCGCCATTTTGAAAATTTTTTTTATTTAAAAACTCATTAATAAATATTTTTATAAGCGCGAATAAAGAAATTCAAAGGATTTTAATAAATAAAAAAAATTTTATTATGCCACTTTTAATAAAAAAAAAAAAAAAATCATAAATAATAATGTAATCATATTTCAAAAAAAAAATAAAAAATTTTCTGTTGCCACTTCTTTTTTTTTTTTTTGTGTACATGAAAAATGAGTTAACAAAGAAAATATTTTTTTTTTACCCTTCCCTGATCCTATCCTACCCCTCTTTTCTTTATTTCCCTCCCGTTAGAATTTTTTTAAAAGAAATTATACCAATTAAACGTGGCATTAACCGTTGAAAGATATTTTCCCGCCCTCATCGTAAATCTTTCAATTTTTTTTTTTTAAGAAAATTTATTTACAAATAATTTTTTAACGATTTAATTTTTTTTAAAAACTAAATTATAAAAAATTCACCTCGACATTAACTTATTTAAAAAATTGATATAGAAAAAGTGGAAGAAGAAAAAAAAATAATAATAATAAATGACAACGTCGTTTTATAAAAAAAAATTTTTTTAATTAATTAAATAAATAAAATTTATTCTGCTACATCTCAAATTTTTTTTTTTTAAATCGAAGGGAAGAAAATTTTATTTGATCGTGTAATTAGAATTTCGGTTTTCCGGGAAAAAGAAAAAATAACAAATTTTTTTTTTTTTGAATTTTACACCCGTTTCGGATTATTTCATGATAGATTTTAATTTTAATTGCGTTCAGGTGTTTTTACTTTAAAACCTTTTCTAATATTTCCGCCATTAAACCAACACAAAAAAAATCGATTTTGTTTTATCATTAATTTATTATTATTATTATTACTACTACCGTAATTATTATTATTATTATTTTTTACGATCGTTTTATAAACGAAAGCGAAACAAAAAAAAGAAAAAAAATTAAGGAAAAAATTTATTTATTTAACCACATTTTTAATTTTATTCCACTTAAAAAAAAAGTCATTCGGTCGTGTCTTTATCGATTGTCAATTTGCCAGAAAATAAAAAAACAAAAGAATTGATTGGCATAAATTTAATGCAGATTCTGCAACATTGCCAACCTTTACAAAAAAAAAAAAAATATTTAAAAGACGCGAGACCCCAAACGGTTGATTGTCTTCTTCTTCCCGAATTCTAATTATAACTCTCTTCGATAAATAAATTTTTTATTGTAAAAAAAAAAAAAAAAAAAAACGTGGCATTAGACAAATTATTATTATTATTCAATCGTTTTTACTTTAAAACGTTTGAATGCGGAAAACGCAACGATAAATAAAAAAATTTTTTTTTATGCTCAACGACGCTTCGGATTATGATGATAACGGTGATAACGATGGGATGATAATAATAATAATGATTTTTATCCGTTTGAAATAAATATACATACATAATAATTATTATTATTATTACAATAAATAATTTATTAAGGTATATTTATTATCGATGATTTTCCACGTGACAAAAGTTTTTTTTTTTCTTCTTTTTATTTTTCTTTCATGTTTTTCTATCCTTTTTACGCATCCCCGCATCTCCCACATTCCCGTTCTCCCGATTCCCTCCTCTCACCTCCCCTTTTTCCCCCCTCTCGCACGTTAACTATATTTTCATTAATTTTTTTTTTTACGAACGGACACCCACACACATATACGGACAATGCGTTTTATTTTAATGAACGTTAACGTTAAATGATATAAATGGCACACAAACGGTGAAATATTAATAAACTTTTTTTTCCTTTTTTTCCTTTTTTACTTTTTCCTTCCTTTTCTCTTCCTTTTACTTTTTTTCCCCTTCCTTTTTCATTTAAAAAAAAAAAAACAACAAAAACATGAGAAAAAGTTTTTTTTTTTTTTTTTTTATGCTTCCCGGGTAAATTTTCAATGTTACAAACTTTTAATACGGAAAAAAAAAAAAATTAAAATTAAAAATAAAATAATTTTTTTTTGTTGTAATGTTGGCAACGGTATTAAAAAAATTTTTTTTTTTTACAAACCTTTCTTTCGTTTTGAATTTGTAAAAAAAAAAAAATTCACGGAAGTAAAAAAAAAAATCAACGCATTATTAATAATAATAACAATAATAATAATAATAATGATGATGATGATGACTATGGCAATGATGGCGGCGTTGACGGTGATGATGATGATAATGATAATAACAAATTCGTCGCAATAACAACAACAAAGAAAAAACGAAAACAATAAAAAAATTCGTTTTTAAACCGTGAAAAATATTTCGCGCGTACATAATTCATCATCATCATCATTATTATTATTATTATTATTTTGTTTAAAAGAAAATTTTCAAATGATTTTCCGATGGTTTTAAATTCGAATTTAATCGTTTTTTTTGTTTATTCGCGCATAAAAAATGGCGAATTGTTATTATTATTATTAATAACATATACATTCATATATATCTAAGAATTTGAATTTTTTTTAATAAGAAAAAATCGATAATCGATAATCGATATTCTTTCGGTAAAAAAATATTATTATTATTATTATTCGGTAGGAGTAAATGGTAAAAAGTCGTCGGGAAAGGGGTTTAAAAAAGGATTTACTACGTTTTGCATTATCCTCATATTACGTTTTAACCAGTGTGAAATCTTCTTTTCATTTTTCTCCAGGTTTTTCTTTCCTGGAGAAGAAAAAATATATTTTTTACCTTGAAAAAAAAAAAAAAAAAATTTTGGATTTATAGTTATAACAAATCATCTTGTTTTTTTTTTTTTTTTTTCGAGAAGAGGGTGGGTGGGGGATGGGTGGGGAAAGGAGAAGGGGTTGGGAATGGGAAGAAGGGAGGAAAATTTCATTCAGTTTTTTTTCCACGTTTTCTTATAACATTTCATATATATATATATATATTTTCCCGTGTTTTTACAAACACACACACACGGTTTTTCGAAAACCTTTTTCTTTCTCTTTTCTTCTTTCATATACATTTTCCGTAAATGACGTCATTTTTTTTTTAACCAATCAAAAAAAAGTTTACCCTCGAGATAAATGAATTCACACACGTAAAACTATTTTCCGCGACACTCATTTTCTTTTTTCCTCATTATGGGAAAAGCAAACAAAAAGAAAATTTTTTTATTTTTACCTAGAAAAATTTCCCTTTTTTCGAATTTTCCAACGGAATTAATTGTAAATAAAAGAAATGAAATGAAAATTTTAAATTTTACCTTTTAAGTAAATAAAATAAAAATTACCCGGAAAATTTTTGGGAAAAAAATAAAAAGTTTCAGGAAACGTTTGAATAATAATAAAAGGAGAAGGAAGGGGAGGAGTTATGGATGTGGAATAATAGAAAAATTATTAATTATTTATTAATTTACGCACACACGCATTTCACACGCATGCGTAATGTTATTAAAGATGAAATTTTTAATTAAATTTTTTTCAATAAAAATAATTAAATTAAATTACGTAACTTGGAAAAAAATAAAACAATTATTAAAAATTATTTATTAACGATCATTTTTCAATGATTTTCGCCCAATTTTTGATCCTACCCCACGCGTCGTCACCCCACGCATCGCCACCCCACACTGGATCCCATCCGTCCCCTCATTTTTTTTTTTTGCAACGGTACCTCGTGTACGTTTTCTCCCCTCATGCGGTTTATATGTATATATATGAGAGAGAAAATTAAAATAAAATTTTTCAACCGTAAAGATTTTTCAAAAATTACTTTTTTATTACTTTTTTTTTTTTTTTTTAATGTTATGTATATAAATTATCCTTTCGGCGTCTACCAGACTGCACTTGAATTCTTTTTTTTTTTGAATAAAATAAAAAAAAAAACAAAAAACACTCACGATAATGATAACGATAATTTTTTTTAAAAAAAAAAAAAAGGTTTTCGAATATTTAATATTTATACATGTTTTTTTCGGTACGACGAAAAACCCCCTTAAGCTTTTCAATAGATCATTTCAAACAGGTTTACCAACGTTAAAAATTTTTACTTGAAAAAGTTTACGTTTCTTTTTTTTTTTGTCGAGTTATTAAATAAACAGAGAAATAAAAAAAAAAGTTTTTTTTTTTTGTAAAAAATTCTTTTTATTTTTAAATTTGGTTACTTTTTACTTTTTCAAAACGCATTTTTAAATGACTGAAAAAAAAAAAATAAAAGGTTTTTTTACTTTGACCTTTTTAACCCTTTGGCTGAATAAGAACGAGGAAGGGGAGGGAGAGAGGGAGAGGGAAAAAACAAACAATAATAGCAAACAACAACAACAACAACAACAACAGCAAAAACTTGTACCTTTTTTTTTTTCGTCGTGCCTCTAGCAAAACGGATTTTTTCCATGCCTTGAAAAGAATTTTCTTTTTTTTTTTTTTTTTTTTTTTTTTTATAAAAACGGAAAAGAAATTTATTACCTGAATAAAATTTCAACGTAAAAAAAATCGTTTGAAAAAATTTATATAAAAAAAAAAAACCGTCAATTGTTAAAACATCAAAAGGAAAAAAATGGTCGATTCGATTTTTCCTTTTTTTTTCATTTAATTTAGGTAAACTTGTAAAAAAAAAAAAAATTATTATTATTATTATTATTATTATTATTATCCACCATTAAACACGACAAGGCTACTTGTCGGAGTTTTTAAGTATTTATCCGAGGTTTCTACCCGATTCCTTAGGGACAAATACTCGAATTTCGGTGGTGCCACTTATTATAAGATAGCACCACATCAATTCTTGAAGGTCTTCCTGAGTCCGTCTTTTTCGATGGGAACGATTTGTCTCCTGAACTGGGCTCCGGTGACTAACATCTTTGGAGTGGCCAGGGTCAGAAGCAGTGAAATTCACGTTCTCGTCGAGCTGCCTCAGGTCGACAGTAGAACAAGATTTGTTTTGTTTTTGGTTCTTACTTTGTCTTGTTCTCATTTTTTTGCTCTTTTTAAGCCAACAGCACGTGGCGTTCTCAAACGGTCACCCATCCAAGTTTGCACCACGCCCGATGCTGCTTAACTTCGGTGATCGTACGGGAACCGGTGTGACCAGCACGTTATTATTATTATTATTATTATTATTATTATTACCGCGACTAACGCCACCGTGAGAGTTTTTTTTCTTTAGATAAAAAAAAAAAAGAACTGCATTTTTTTTTCACTCTTTCTTGCTCCATATACTTTTAATCTATTTGTTTAATGTTCCTTGCGAAGATAAATTGCAAATAATGTAAGAAATTATGGCAAAAATAAAAAAAAATTTATACACGCGTTATCATTATTTATTCATTCCCTGTTTATTATTTTAAAATTTTCTTCCTTTTTTTTTTTTTTTT